GTACAGTAAAACAACTGCTACCTAAGCCGAAAGGCCCCTCGCCTCCTTCACCCCCCACCCCCTACCCTCTCCCCCGACCTGGATCCGTCAATGCTAGCATTCCATAAATGGATTCCAAGCATATTCTATAGCAACGGAATCAAACTGTATCAACATAGGACAGTAAGCAACAATGCCGAAGATGAATGAAGAAAGGCCAAGCGATAAAAAATTCAACAGAATAAACGGGAAATCCACTAAAAGAACAAGAAAACAGAAGAAAAATACTAGAAATTCAACAACTGCTAGTACAAAAATGGCCATAGTGCTACACAAACGTACAATCAAAGCACAACATAAATCCTCCAAATGATAAACGCCAAAACGTAGATAAATTTTCTTCGTCGAAGGCTCGCATGTAACCGCTGATTCAGGAATTTTACTGGATCGATCATTCATCAAAAATGTGCTCTTCGCGATTTTCATATTCAAAGAATGCATCCAGATCAGTTAACATTCCCACCACTGTTCCGCCTTTACCAGACGAAATCAGCTCTTTCAAAGTTATCCTGAAATGTAAATCTTACAGACTTATGGAGCATTCGGAGGGCAAATTTCTGTGAAATTAGAACCTATCAACTAAAATAATTAACGAATGATTACATTCTGACGTATTGGTTATTGTAGGTTATTGCAGGAGAGCAAAACAGGTGAGAAGAGCGATTTAAAAAAAAAAAAGCAAAGACAACGATACGATACAAATTACATATCAATTCAAAAAACTTTTAAAGAAAAAAGAGGAATAAATCCCATATTTCCGAGCAGGTTAATGGGAAAATGTTGCACCCTTAAGTCGACACAAGCGTGTAAAATTTGCATTCTTTAAAGGCGATGCTAAACAGTGCTACAACTAAACAATAAATAGCAACGCGCACCAGAGTAGCCGGTGCGATCATGCGTTTTGTGCAATTCAGCCCATCGAACGATTGCCTATTAATGATTTTCATTGCTTTGTATACTATAGTCTATGCAAAAATAGTTCAAACATTGGAAAACAGTTAGAATTTCACGCACCAGCGTATGAAAGCTGAATTCGAAACCTTGAAGGATGAATATCTTTCCGTGATTTCGATTTCATGCACCAGCGTATGAAAGTTGAATTCGAAACCTTGAAGGATGAATATCTTTCCGTGATTCCCCTTCACGCACAAGCGCATGAAAGCTGAATTCAAAGCCTTGAAGGGTGGATATCTTTCCGTGACTCCCGAGTTGATAAACTTTCACTAGCCCGTGGGTGATACCCGAGCGCGGGATCGCTGAATTTGAATGGGCAAGGTTGAGCATGGACAGGGAGTCATTACTCTAAAATTTCAGCCTCCTAGACTCCGTGGTTCCCGAGATATTAATTTACCCGTAAAAAACCTTCACGGGGCCGTAAGTGCTACCCGCGGGCACAGGAAGGCTGAATTTAAATTTGCTGCGTCACCCGCTGGCGGAGAACGCTATACCAAAATTTCAGCCGCCTAGCTTTTGTGGTTCCCAAGTTGAAAGTGTGGGACAAAATGTGGGACATACACACAAATACACAAACACACACACAGACAACCCCGCGACAATATGCGCTTTGTGCTGCTGTTACAAAGTACAAAACGCATAAAAAGTGATAAAAATAAGAGTCAGTGTGCCGTCCAAATTACTGAATACTCCTCAGGAACGAGCATTTTTGGCCCTAAATTTCAATCAATCTTTTTCGATAGCAGTAGTAGTAGTGCATAATGTAAAACTTATTACCAAACAAAGATATTTTCTAAAAACAGAATTTGTGTTGGCTTGCAACAACAAATTGATTACGTATATTCAGCTGAGAGTGATAAAATGATTGCTTACCCATGAGGGTTTTTTGGATGACACATGTCTAACACCTCAGAAACAATAACTTCCAGCGACGGAGCCTTTTGAGAACTATTTTCTGGGAAATTATCCTCCAACATTTCAGCAATTTCGCGATAGAAGAACGATATATCTGGTGCAGTCAGTAAATTATCGCCATCAACATCCATTATTCGAAAATAATAGCTCAGAGCGGAGGGATCCTGAAAAATCCAGAAATTAACACGGAAAATAGTACTCATCAACACCTAGTGCAACAAAAGCACAAAAGAAAAACAAAAAAAAGACTTTCCTCGAAACAGTTTTTAATGGCCCTGTTGGAGTATGAATGGGTAAAGAAATGGAACGGGGAAAAGAAGGCAACTACTAAAGCTCGGCTCGGCTCACCTCGGCCAGGTCCATCACACGATTTGCGACTCGATTCGCAGGCCTGCTACACGATTTGCGATCTGATCCCCGCCACCCCTCCCCTACTCCGCTCAACGCACACGACCCAACAACCAAACGCCAGGCTTTGTTACCCGGGACGTCTGGCAAGATGCCATGTGGTACCGACGAGACTCGCAGCAAAATAACGTTAATGAGGACGTAAAAGTAAAACGGCCGAGCCGAGCCGAGTTTCGGTAATTGCCGAAAAAGAAAGCTAAGTTAATGCTTAGCAAATGATGCATCTTAAAACACAAAAGAATGACAATCACAACGATGAAGCACCAGATGAACAAGGGTAAATAAAGGGAGATTTCGAATGGGTTAATACCATATTTGGAAAATCTTTTAACAGTCTGGAGATTTCAAGTTGCCTGTTTACTATGATTTTGAGCTTTCCGCATCACAATACTCTCAATATTCGAATTAATGGCCCAGCCGATCCAGCCAGTAGTTTCCCTAGTTTTGCTTTAATATATCAAACGAGCGATGCGGCTTCTCTTCTTGGCACACTCATTTTGACTTTTATATTAACTTTTATACCAAACTGCGATTGCAACTTGGTAATTTTATATGCTACAACTTGCTGACACCTATCATTAGCCAGTACACTGTGCTTTTGCTAGCCTGTTTCTTTTGTGAATGTACGCATTTCGCATCTATAAAGCAACACCAAGAGGGCGGTGATCCAGAAAATTTTTGTTTTTATGAGAAATGCTGTTTGTTTGTCTGTGACTTCAAGAAGCACTAAATCAAAATAATCAAAAACATACCGATTTATTTTCCATTGCAAGTAAAAGATCACAAAATCCTCTCAAGTCCAGCTCGTCGTTATCATAAGTTTGTTGAACTTCGAAAACTCTGCAGCAATTTGTTAAATCAAAGCAAAAACTCATTTTAAGTTTAATCAGTGAAATCAATTTTTTGAATCCAGACATTTTCGAAGATTATGTTCCCCCAATAACTTAGCCCAGATATATACAAACATCATCATCAAAACGGGAAACCCACACCAATTGTAAAGGCGAATTTAGTATTCCTGGTATACTCAAACCAAGAATGACTTTCTGGGAAACATTATGGCTGATGGGGCTTGAAGCTCAACATTGACGAGGTGGCGACAGAAAATGTTGCAATTTTTAGAAAAGGCGTACTCAGAAACTGAAAAAGAAACTAAATCATGCACATTAAAACAATATCAGACGAATGGTATTCTGAATCTCAGTCTACGCTGGTAATTTCTGGTGCCAAGCATAAGCACAGCAGGCAAAAGTTTAACAAACCTTTGTATAAAAAAGTTTGAAACTTTCTGAAAATCAGTCATTTCTGACAAAGACAGCAATCCATTGAAGTCAGAATCAAGCTGGAAATACATTTCCTTTATCCGTAGACAATTCTCTTTCGAAAACCTGAAACTT